AGTGAAAAAAAAAGAAAAAAGACAAAGACCATGTTTGCTAAATGACGTTTCAACAAAAAATCGGTTGTTTTGACCAAATTCAGCATTTTTAATCGGTCAAAACGTTGTTTTTAATTGTTTGGCAATTGACTTCTTAATTTGGCGCGTTGGCCGGAAACGCCAAAAACTTTCGCTAGAGTTATAAGCTTTCACTTTCGCGATTGTAAATAGACAAATTATTCCCATGCGTACCCTTCCTCATCTTCCATATTCAGCGCAACACACCTTCATTTCAGAAAAAAAACATGTCTGACATCCTTTTTTATTATGTAAAGGTGCAGAATCAAAGCCCTGCTTAACCCAACTCTATTTTCCCGACCTTTACTCTATTTTACATTCTTTTCTTTTGTATTTATAACACATGTAGATTTCTTAAGGTGCTTCGTAGATTAGCATGTTAAAGTACTTCGTAGATTAACATGTTAAACTTTAACTTCAACCGTAGATTTTTTAATTATTGGTGTAGTGAATTTATGAATTTTAATTATTATATTTTCATTTAATTCATTTTAAAATAATTAATAAACTCTCTCTCTCTCTCTCACACACACACACACACACACATATATTAGTATACTTATAACATCATACTCCGTATTAAACAACAAAAAAACAAATATTAAAATGTACTAATGTCCTCTTTTGTCTTTTTATCTATTAACCGCTAAAAGCAAACAGCTAAGTTATCAAACATCTTTTCGTAACCCACCAAACTAATTCGCTGGTCAAACTCGCTCACGCACCAGCAACTCAAAAGAAGGAAAAAAGGGACCAAGAACAGTAAGGAATGCAGCGAGAGAGGGACTCCTGGTCTCATGAGTTTGAACGACTCCAAAAATTCAGGATATTAGCATGTATAGTGGCAAACTGATGAAACAGTTGTACTTTTTTGCTACAAAAATGCAGCAGTAAGGGTTTTAGCGGGTGGGCTGGGGTGGGAGTGGAGGATCGAAACCCTTCTGCCGAGAAAGGATAGCAAGCATCAAGAGGAAGGCACCCAGATCTTTAGGGCTTCGAACTGCGAAATCCTGGAGGAAACGAAGCAGTCTTTGGATGTCCAGATTGGTGAAGATCACTCTGCGAAATCCTGGAGGAAACGAAGCAGTCTTTGGAGGAAACTGTCGAGAGATTGCTTTAAACTAGAACTTTCGATTCGTTCTTTATAAACTCCAGTTGCTTGTTTCAGATTTTATTGAGAATTCGTAGGTTCAGATTTTTTAAGCATTGAACGCAATTACTTTTTGTCGGTTAAAATGGTTAGGTTAAATTCCATGTCACTTACTGTTTTAATCACAAATTGCATTGTTATGAGTAGCTAATTTTATTAGTCCTGGATTATGATGGTGTTGCTATGGTTTAATATGAATCGTGATTTTAGTTAAGTCAGTTGATTAAGTTTTATCCATTGTTATTGTTTGCTTAATTTGTTGTGTTAACTTCTGGACAATTTTAGCATGATTAATTCAGTTGTTTGAGTGGATTTTTGGATTACATGTCATGCCTATTAGTTCGAGCTCCTTTGGATAAAAGAATAAATAATTCAATTGTCTTGTTAGGTTATCTATTTGGTTCTTAAATTGAGTTTCTTTAATTCTTTTGTGATTAATGGATTTTAACTATTGAATTTATAATTTCCTATTGATTAATAGTTAAAGTACGCGACTTATTCTGGACGCCATACAAAATAATCATATTTTGCCCAGAACAAACCTTCAATTTTAATTGACTAGCTAAATCACAAATACTAAAAATTAGTGATAGAATCATAATCTTGGACTATCTTTTATTCTGCTAAGTTCTCAACCAATTTCCCGTTAGTTTTTTAATTACTTTATTTTTATTCAATTAAATTCCTTTCATTCATATTAATGCAAGCTTTACTTATTGTTTTTAGTTTAAAACCAAAAAGATTCAAAACATATTTTATTTAGTTAGGTTAATTTCACTTTTATTTTTATTAATACTTTTCCAATTACTTAGTTGCATTTTCCATGTGGATTTGACCTTTACTCGAGCACTGTACTACCGTGACTCATGCATTTAAGAGAACTTATAAATTGTGTATCAGTCGTATCATGAAAATCTTTGAAACAAACGATAAAAGCTAAATCCACGATGGAATTTGAGCCAATAGATCGACTTGGATAAGTGCACTGAAGAGGCTGAATGGTTACGCCATTTTCTTGAGGATATTCCAAGTTGGGAAAAGCTTGTCCCTTCAATATGCATACATTGTGATTGCCAAGTGGCAACTGGAAAGGTACAAAGCAACATGTACAATGGTACGTCTTGACATGTTTGTCATAGACATAACACCATTAAACAACTCCTCATAATGTGTATTATCATGGTTGACTACGTGAAGTCATGTGATAACATAGTGGATCCGCTAATCAAGACATTGGATCGAGAATTGTTGGAGAAGTTGTCACGAGAAATTAGATTAAAGCTCGTGAATTGAAAAGTTCTATAGTGGATACCCAACCTAGCTGACCCTAGGTTCAAAAGGGACAACGAAATTATGGAACGAAGGATGGTCACTGTGGGGGTATCAGACTCCTACCTACTCCTCGTTGAAACAGTGACTCCTGCACGAGGTTAGCAAAAATGTTTGCTTAACCGTTCTGAAATGTTGATTTGCTTGATAATATTGTTGATTTTCAATTGGTAGTTTCTCTAGGGAATTGTTTTAATTATAAAAATGAACCAATAAATCATAAACTCATTAGCTACATTATCCATATTTCTTACATCAGTAGCCACGCCAGGAGGCACTAACAAACCTAATGAGACAAACATAGTCAAATTAAGTCTTACGTATTCATCAATGACCTAAACTTGTACTACGTAAGTTCTAAGTTATAACTACCTGCAAAACCACAAATAATGAAGATATATAATCTAGATAGTACATCACACCATCAATCAAATTTCAATCTATAAAGAAAAAAATCGGAGTACACCTACCGTGGAAGCAGCGATGCAAATGAGCAAATCTCTTCCACGCCCGGTGCACCATTTCGACCACTCGCCGGTCGGAGATGAAATGACATTTGGATTTCCGTTTAACTTCTTCATTTTGGAAAGTCAGCAACTGCCTACAAGTGACTAGGAGTTCAAAAAAGACTCCAGACTGTTTGCATTTAGCAAATGAAAACATTTGCTCCAAAAAAAAGTGTTAATATATACGGAGATCGGTGTGTGCATTTTTTTTTGGATGAAGGGGGCTTATATTAGAATAAGAGCATTCAGCAAGGATCTAAAATAACAAGAGTACCACCGATAACCATCCGCCCTTGGGCCAGACTCTGAGTTAACCACCTGCGAGGAAGCAGTATAACTCGCTGATCCTAAATTGGGCATAATTGAGCCAACAATGGTTACTGCAGCACACTCATCACCCGAGCCTAATGCAAGAGTCTTACAAAAGTAAACAAAACAAAAAACAAGAACAACAGTTTGATTGTCAAAGGAAACAAAACAAGCGATAATAAAAACAGTACCACCGTGGAACTGCTGCACCCGCAGCTTTACGAACACATCAGGCGGGCCTAAGAGCTGAGGCCCGCCTCCTCCCCGTTTTTTGTGTTATCCAGTGCCATCTCCTCTTCTGAGTTGTTTTCCTCTGTCAGATCCTTCCAGACTCTCCTGCGCTTCTGGTCCACCAAGACCTCCCCTGCACCACTTCTATACTCTTCCTTTGTGCCACTACTTTTCTGTCTCAATTGTACTTCCTTTGCGTCCCTGTCTCATAGTTCCTTCGTCATCTTGCTGAGTCCTCCTGTGATTACTCGGACCTCCCTGTTTATCCCCCAACCACTTGCCACCCCTTGTAGGGCTGCTCTTTCCCCCACCCCCTGCTCTGAGATCAGCACTAAAGTTTTTCTCCAAAACGAGATCCTCCACATATTTCAATGGGCAAAATTTTTCAGAGTGCCCCATAATCCCACAAATGAAACAGAAACTTGGTAACTTCTCATATTTAAAATCTACCCAGTGCCCTTCCCCTCCCTTAGTCAAAGTAGAACCCTTTTTTAGGGGCCTTCTCACATCCATCTTAACCTTAACCCTCAAGTACGAACTCCACTTTTCCTTAAAGTGACCCTCATCAAAACTAATAAATTCCCCAATATAGTTACCCACCCTCCTAGCAGTATCAACATTCATAAACCTATACGGCACATTGTGCACTTGCACCCAGACCTCTGCTTCAAACAAGTCCATTTTATGTGGTATATCATTAGGGCCAACCGCTTTTAGCAATAATAGATTTCGTTCAAACAACCAAGGACCATCATCTATAACACGGGTCATATCAATTTTATGATTAAAAGTGAAGAGATACCTCTTTTCATCAATTTCTTGAACCGTCATTCCCTTTCCTGGGCTCCAGAGCGATACAAACAGGTCTTGTACTGCCTGAAATTTGACCTTTCGGTTAGTATGAATGACTCCCACCACCGGAAATTCCGCCATCTTTGCCTTTGGAAAGGTAACCTCTTCCTCCTCATCATCAAAATTCAACCTACTGTGTGCATTTAGCAAATGAAAGGGCAATTAACTTCCATTAATTAATACTTACTCCATTCTTTTTAATTGTAACGGTCCACTTTTCACGGTTGTCAATGCAAAAGTTTGGTCGTTAATATCTTTCATTCATTATTAGTGAGAAAAAAAATCATATTTTGGAAATTTACAATGAAGGTGATTTAAATATACTCCCTCCGTCCCAATTTGATGGTCTTGTTTCTTTTAGACACAAAGGATTAAGAAAATGTGGTAGAAAGACTAGAATCCTTACTTTATTGTACTATTCATCCTTTTACTTTTACTGTTCATTAAAAAAGGGAGATATAAATGGTAATCCACTTTTAGTTCTTTACCAAAAAAGGAAACAAGATCATCATTTTGGGACATCTCGAAAAGGAAATACAGGAAAATCATTTTGGAACAAAAGGAGTATTTTTTAAACATTTAATATATAATACATCAATAAAAAAAATATAGTCAAAGTAAAATATGTAAATAATACAAAACGTACGTTGTTGCAATTAAAAGATAAGGAAGCTAGTATCCAAAGCCCATGCATGATATTGGAACCCAATAGGGCCCATATAGGATGTTTTAATAAGCTCTGGATCAAATATAGCCAAGCCCATTGTTAAGATCAATAGTGAAGTGCCAACCAACCCTAGCAGATATATATACCGAATCCTCGACGCCGCGAAGATCTCGTCGCGATTTTTACGGAGTATATCCAGAGCATAGTGCCGCCACGGTTTAAGCTTTCATTTCAACAAAAATGGTAGCTCTTTCTCTCTCCTTTGTCTCTGCTTACATATTGTCTGTGAATCATCATTTCTTTGTAAACTGATCGAGTCGATTACTCGTATGGTTGTTTTGTGCTTAGGCGGACGCTGATAACGATGTTGCGACGGGACTGCCAAAGAAGAGAACGTTTAAGAAGTTCAGTTACAGAGGCGTTGATCTCGATTCTCTCCTCGACATGCCCACTGATGTTCTCGTCAATCTCTTTCCGTCCCGTCAACGCAGAAGGTTTTCCCACATTGTTCTTCTTACACTTATCGTCTGTTTAATGGGAGTCTGGGGTTATACGCTGAATGTCGTTATGATTTTGATTTATTGGATAGGTTTAAGAGAGGCTTGACGAGGAAGCCACTCGCTTTGATTAAGAAGCTCCGGAAGGCGGTATGAATATGATTTTTCCTCAGATTAGTATTTTTTCTTAGTTTTACTCGTGTGTAATATGTGTTGATTTGATTGTTCGTGAAAATGGAGAAACTTGTCCATGTGTTGTTTCATTCGCCTGTTTTTACTGCTTTCTGGATAGAGTTAACCTAAAATTTTTGCTGAATTTAGTAAAGCTTAGATTTTTGTTGAAAATAGGTTTCATCTTGATTAATACATGAGCATATGAAAATGCTACGAGTATTTAAATTACCATGAGGATAAATTTTACGGAGTATGAATCTAGTACAAGGCTGTTCAGTTAGAGGTTAAGCAAGGTGAGCGCATACCTAACTTACTCGTTTGGAGGCTTTAGCGGGCGAAAAGACTTGTCTAAAACTCAGTTATATGAGGTTATATGGTTATTTTTAGCGTTGAATCTTGAATCCATATTTACGGAAAGCCTACATTCTTATTATGAAACTAAATAATCGATTTTCATGTATAACTAAACCTTGAAGAAATTTGATTCACCCAACCAATTTTTATCAAGTGTAAAGCAGTTGGTTTTTATTTGATACAATGTCACTGTATCTGTGCTTATGTTTTGCACAATAAATTGCACATTCCATGATTCCATTCAACATATTGAACCTGTTCAGCACTGCTCAAGAGAATCTAAACTGCTTATGAGATTTAGATAATATATGTTATCTAACTCAACTCTAAATGTTTTGCTGTATGGATTAGCCATTTCATACGCAGTTGGCTTCTGCAACACAGTCCATAATAAATCAAAATAAATTAGACTTCAAATTGCAGTCTGATTAAATAATTCTGTGGTTATGCAGATAACCCAGACTACGCAGTAACCTACTTTATTTTGAATATTTAATGGATGATTGCTCAACCTATTGACTATTTAAATTATAATCTTTATTGGATTACCTGATTACATTGTCTTTTTGTTATGTGTATTATACACATAATACAGTGTATATGTAATATATACAGTGTTAATGTAAATATACAGTGTTGATGTAAAATATACAGTGTGTATACAACATATACACTATATATTTGTTGTGTATATTATTATACACATACTACAGCGTGTATGTATAATATGTGCCTTTTTGTATATACACTGTACAAAAAGCAACATAACCTGAGATGAAAATCGTGTTGAAAGTTGCATTGATTGAGCGTTGCTTCGTAACATTAATGAGCTGTTTTTGCTTTACTCCACATTCTTAAGCAAAAAACCAGGGAGCCTTTGGCTCTATTGAATATGATGGAACTTGTATATACACAATCTATATACAAAATATATCATGATCAAACTGGCCCGACCTGATCAATCCTAAAAAGTAGACTTGTTTATATATTAAAACTGCCTGATTTAATTGGATCTGATTCTGAATTTCATTCAACCTGCACAAATCAACCTGTTTCTGTTCGCACTCATACCATTCTACTTGTTTGAATCTCACCTCCAAAATTTCATTTTTTTCTTTGCTGCAGAAACTTGAGGCTCCAACTGGTGAGAAGCCAGAGCCAGTCAAGACCCACTTAAGGAACATGATAATTGTTCCTGAGATGATTGGGAGTGTGATTGGTGTTTACAATGGAAAAACATTCAACCAGATTGAGGTGAAGCCAGAGATGATTGGGCACTACTTGGCTGAGTTTTCAATCTCATACAAGCCTGTCAAGCATGGTAGACCTGGTATTGGTGCTACTCACTCCTCAAGGTTCATCCCGCTCAAGTAATATATGTGTCTTCTCTTAAGAGCATCTTATTGTAACCTTTGAATCGAATATTAAGTATGCACTATAAACTTTCGTCTCTAAACATGTTGCAGAGGTATCTGTTTTGTTGAATTATGTGAAATTGAGTTCTGGTCTATTTTTTTGCGCATGAAATGGTTTTACTCAAGTTTGCTTTTTAAATATCATAATATTGAGTTTTATGGATTATGAAGTATTTCTCTCCAGATGTCGGCAGTTATTCTTTCTATAAATCGCCCATTTTCTTAGGTTCAAAGTTGTCAAAAAGCCTGTCGCGTTTGTAGTTACCCCCATACGTAGTTTCGTTTCCCTGACATTATATCTTTATTACCGACTACGGAGTAAGAAAAAACAGAAAGATTCTTGAACAGACAAGAAATATATGGGCTTGAGCTCAAGTTGTTCCCATTCCTTCTGGACCAACCAATGTATTATTGATACATTTGTTACAAATGTTATATTTTCTAAAATATACTCCGTATTAAAAAAAAATTACCCAGTTCATATGCTTTTAAAAAACGTTTGGCACTAACAAAAGCAGCTTTATGCCTTTATGTAGTCGCATGATACTAGCTTGGGGAAATGTTTTTAATTCAATTCAGCCATGCCACAAGGCCCATAATGGCATAAGCCATAAGGATGGACCAGGACGGCGGTGTCGGACCTGAGCCAGGTCTACCACTTTGTGGGACTGAACTGGGTTTTCTTGTACCAGGCTTGGATAGGGGTGGACTTGGGCCGGGTGGCCCGACCCGGAACCGGCCCGAACCGGCACTGTTCTGCCCTGGCCCGGCCTGGTGGCCCGGTCAGTGATCGGTTCGGGTGGGCCCGACCCGCTGGGGTTCCGGTCCGGGCTTGGGCCCCTCAAAACGTGAAGCAGCCCGGCCGGTTCGGGCTCGGTCCGGGCCATTTTATTTATTTTTTCTTTTTTTTTTCTTTTTTCTTTTTTAGTTTTTGGGTTGGGCTGGGTATTTTGGGTCATTTGAGATGGTTTGGGGGTGAGGGGGGTTAGGGGTTAATTAGGAAAAGGTAAAAAAAAATTGAACCAAGGCTCGACCCGGACTCTGGGGTTACCCGGGCCGGTTCAGGGCCCCCTTTTCCTGAACCGAGGCCCGGCTGGGCCCAGGCCCGAACCGGCCCGAGTCCACCCCTAGGCTTGGACTAGGTACTTGATTGGGTGGGGGGCGGTCTTGGGTAGGGATTTGGGGACCAGACTAGGCATTTTTTAAATTTCTAGGGTGGGAAATTGGGGCCGAACCAGCCCTAGACTGGCTGGGCAGACTGGACCGGAACCGAGTACCGTACTATTTTAGTATTTTGGGTTGGTTCTGGTCTCAAGTTTGGGGAACCGGACTGTTACCTGTACTATTTCAGTATTTCGGGTCAGTTCTGGTCTCAAGTTTGAGGAAACGGGGACCGAGATCGGATTGTGTTCACCCCTATAATGACATTTTGAGTCGGACAAAATCAATGAATTAATTAATTACTATAAGCCTGAAAAAGCTTGGAATTTTTTCCAAAGACAAGATGAATTCGAATTGATCCCGGACATCCTTTATTCTGTACCTTTAAGAAAATGTAAAGTGTACAACTGGTAGGTCAATGAGAGGGTCCAAGAGACTGCTTTTTCTTTGCAATGGACCATGCTAGAGTGCTAGACTAGTTGCCCGTAATGATCGATAGGTGTGTGTTCATTTTAACTTTGAATTTTGTTTTAGTTTGATAAAATTATTAAAAAAGTGATTGAAAAGTAAAAATTGTGATTGTGATTTGAGTAAAATAAAATAAAATGTTATAGATTACCTATTTCACTTTAAAAAAAGAAATTGAAACTTTTTTTGGATAGCGTAAAAAGGAAAATAAGCCAGGTAAATTAGGACGAAAAGATAATATGCATGTTAGGGGGCACAATTGTGATAAGATGTCTACATATAACGCTATAAGAGACATTATTTCGGTTGTATTAAAAACACTATAAGAGATTAATAATAACATTATGAATTATTATGATGCAAGTGGGTATTTGAAATCTCGGATTTAAGGTGTTGCTATCGAGTATGATCAATCATGGTCAGTTGTCACCCCTATTTTATATCAACATTTACATTTGTACGTTACATATTTATTAGAGGGCAAACATACTACGTGTAGTCGTGGACTCGGGTCGGGCCGCCCGGCCCGGAACCAGTCTGGAACAGATACTGTTTGGGTTTGGGCCGGGCTGGGCCGGTACCCGGTTATAGGACCGGTCCAGGCCATCCGAACCCGGAATTAAACGGTCCGGGCTCGGGCCTCCTAAAAGTGGAACCAGCCCGACCTATTTCTTTTTTTTTTTTTTGGTTTTTTTCAATTTTTTTTTTGTTTCTCCCGGGTTGGTTTGGGTATTTTTTTTTGGGGGGGGGGGGGGGGGGGGGGTTGGGTGTGGGGGGGAGGGTCGGGGGTTAATTAGAAAAGCAAAAAAAAATAAAAAAATAATAACATGAACCGGCCCAGACCGGAATCGAGGGCTACCCGGGCCAGTTCCGGTTCTTCCTTCCCAAAAAAAGCCCGGCCGGAACCGGCCCGGCCCAGGTCCATGACTAACTACGTGGTCGCTTATTCTTTTCGTATAGTTAGGTATGTATGTATAAATTGCTACTATGTACATAATTTGCGTGGACTAAACACCTTGGGTTGGATAAACTAAGGATAAACTAACTAAGAATGTTTTTACTTTGACGGTTTTCAATCTCAAACCAGACAAATCAGACCAGTTCTGACCAGATCAGACTGTTGTAATTATAAAATACATGGAGATGGACCATACATTTACCAAACCAATTAAGACCAAACCAGATCAGAGTAGACTTAAACATATCAAACCATACTAGCAAATTTTTAACTTGAATTGCAGTTATTTTTATGTTATTAACGCACAATTTTTCATCACAGAGTTCTTGATAAATTGAGCTAAATTGAGCAAAATGGTTTAAAGATGATTAAACCATAAGAAAAGAATATGGACGCTTGAGTGCTCAAGACATGTGCTGGCATAAAGCTAGGAGAAGGAAATAGAATCAAAGGAAAAAGCTAATTAGTCCTCGCTTCGTTTTTATCATAAAATAAGATTTATTCACTTTTGATGGAGAAAGTTTTGAATTTTTGATAAGATTATATCAATGCTATTATGTAAATAAATAAAAACATGAGTAGTTTATGTGCATTTTATTTATATTTTAGTCCCATTTGAAACATTTCTTCTAAAATATACTACCTCCGTCCCATTATGTTTGGGACAAAGAAGTGTGCACAAATTTTAAGAAAAAGTGGAATTGTGTGGTTAATATTGAATTGATAAAGTGTAAATAAAGTAAGAATGAATATAGTCTGGGTCAAACTGAATGAGACGGACAAAAAAGGTAAAACGGGACAAAGTTAGGGGACGGAGGAAGTGGGTTTAATGCATGGAATCATTTTTCATATAAAAAGCATTAGCCCGTCGGTTCTGATTAGGTTGGATCTAGACACATAGGTTAGACTGAACTACAAGTCTACAATGTTGGATTTAGCTATTGTTTGAATCATAGACTATTGCCTGGAGCTGACTTTGATATGCTGAATCTGAACTGATAGCTATATGAAGTATGCCAGTTTGACAAAAAGCGCTGAAAAAGTGCCCTAATAATATGAAATTATCGGAAAGGGCATATAATTATCAATGCAACAAATTATTTAAGAAATTGATAATCCGTATATTTTAACAATTATTACGATTATAGTATTTATATTTTAAAAAATGTATATTTTTTACAACGAATCAAGTACGAGAGCTTCCTTTTTCGTATTGTTTGAGATGAATTCATATCAAAATTCAAGCATCAATGCAAAACAAAGCTAACAGATGAATAGCAGATGAAAAGCAGGGTAATCAGCGACCAACTCCACACTGTCTGATTGGGAAGGAAAGGATCAATTATAACAAAAAATACAGAAATTTTTGAAGCACCAAGGATAGACCAGAGGACGGCAATTTGAGAGGTTTCTCATATCTTGTTGTTTGATTCATTATTGGCAATTTTTATAGTCGGCAGTTATTAGAGAAAGAGGAGCACCGTAGCCTATTTAAATTCATCCGGCGAAAAAAAAGCGTTGTCGACTATGGGATAATTTGGGTAGGGAACTCAGGAATACATCGTCTGACCACAAACGCTTCACATAATTTGAATAAGTTATGTTTTTCAACTTCAGCTCAATTCAGTCCTCTATCCAAACAGTATTACATTTATATTTATTGGCTGGATTTTAAAAATTCCAGCCCATTATCAGCTGAAAGCTCCTGCCAAACATAGCCTTAAACAATACAAAAAAGTTAAAATAATTAAGTTGCCATAAGTTTTAGTACTTCCACCATAATTTATCGTATATCCTCCCCTTCCATCAGATGCTTTACAAAACGTTACAAAACCGAACCAACTATAAACAGTTCGATTCTTTAAATGTATTTTTTGTAAGAATCGGGAACCATAGTATCAAAAAGGGTAACTTGAGTGTGCACCCTCCATATTATTGTCTAAATTGAACTTTATATCCTGTTTTAAAAAATCTTTGTTTTTGTACCTCAATCCCTTATGAAAAGACAAAAATGCACCTCCATTAAAAAATTTGTTGACCTTCAACATATTCTTGATTGAGAGCTTTTTTATCTTTTCATATGAGGTTGAGGTGCAAAAAAAGATTTTAAAAAACGGGAGACAAAGTCCAATTTAGACAATAATATGGGATGCAAACTCAAATTACCCCTGACAAAAAATAAGAATCTGATCATAAACAATTTAGGGGGTGTTTGGATCCGATTCTTAAAACTGCTTCTGCTCCTTAAAAAGCAGAAGCAGAAGTTGGAGTGTTTGGGTGAAAATGCAAAAATGATTCTGATGCTCTAACTTACTCATAGAATCAGTTATTTTAGAAGTTGGGGGAGACCAGCTTCTGATTCTGATTCTGATTTAAGAAAGAAGCAGAAGCTGAATTTTAATGGTTGTATTCCAACTGTTCTTGGATTCTCGGTTCCTAAGTTCGGCCCCTAAAAATGAGATTCACGCAATTTTTATTTTATTTAGAGGCATAGGGGGCGTACGGACTGCTATTATTAAAGTACGTACCAATCTACACCACCGGCGGGTCTGAAACCCCAATTAAAAGCAACATTAACATGCCTTAAGGCCGGAACACGCTAACCTGCAAAAAGCCAACCACATTACGCAAAAGAG